TCAGTACAGAACTTGGGTCCAGTTCCTTGGAGTGATGAGCGGGGACTGCCTGAATCGCTGAATCTCCGAATCTTTCGTGAATAGATTTGGACCTTTTTATTGGTCTTCTGATTCGATTCAGATTCGGAGATTCGGCCGCCAAATCTGGCCAAATCTCATCCGAGCTTTGCACAGCCCTAATGTGAAGACTGGGAACATGCAGCTTGGCATAATATGCCATTTTTCAGATTTGCCAAAAAAAAGGAAAAAATCAGAATTCCCTTTGCACAAGTAAATGAGCATCTAGAATGGGCCTACGGTGACTAAATATATGTATGGTGGCTTAGTGGAATTTTTAGAACCCCCTAAGCAGATAAGATACATGGTTCCCATTTAAATTAATTAATTCAATTACATGAATTCCCTTAGGCACTTGTGGAAAATTGATCCCTAATCCATATTTACAAACCCACATAAATGGCTTGCTTCTCAAAGGGTCTGAACACTCAGCAGCCCTCTTTGATTCTGTGAAAATTATGGGTTTTGAGCACTTCTGAAAATTTCAACTATTTATTGGGGTACTTCAGTTTGGAGTTTGGGAACATGGTTTCAAATGCACATTTCTGAAAGTCTTTTCATAGATATTCACACTCATTTTTTGTATCCTAATAACTTTTGCTGTAATTAATTGGTTTAGTGTTACGTTCAGGACAAGATGCCAACAATGCTATTAATTCCAGACCAGAAATAAAACTTGAAATACATGAATCTCCTGCAGAGGTTAGAGAAGCCAAAGCCATTTTTATATTCCCTTTCCAACTGAAAGTTTTTGATTGTGTTGTAAAATACTTTGATCACTGTGAAATGTTCTGGGTTACATTATTACATTTATATCATATAAAATAATATTAAAAAATGCACGAAGTGCATAGAGCACTTCAGGTGATTGGTACCCATGGATAAACTAGATGACCTAAAGCCACATGACTTTTCAGTCTCTTATTATTGTGCAGTAAATTTTTGCCTCCTTTCTGTGTATAGTCTTGACCCTCTGGTACAAGGATGTTAAACTCATCTGGCTGGAAATTTGGCAGCACCTGGGAATTTGGTGGTGTCACCATTAATTGCAGTAGCTCCTGGAGCCACATAAATTAATTCTGTCACTGCTTACTACTACATTTCCTACCTCATGGCTAGATCTGGAGCACAGGCCCAGAAAGCCGTAAGTTGGGACAAGTACTGTATGCTGATGGCTTTGGGAACTGTGGCAAACTCTCAGCCCCATGGGCAGCCCCGCTAGCCAGATGATGTGACTCTGTGGGCCAAATCTAGTCCATGGACCATATCTTTGACATGCCTGCTCTAGCAAATCTTGCTGATAAAGATAAATAGTGCTCACATTCTTGAGTACCCACTGGAGAGGGCCGTGAATGGTTTCTAGCAGTCTTTGAGGATACATGAGCAGAGTGGGGACAAATTCTGCAGGTGTGGGAGAAAGCTGGAGGACTAGCTGCTTTCTGTACCATTGTACCCCTCCCTAGACCTGCAAGAAATAACCAAGAAAAGTTATGCTGAGCCTGTCAGAATTAGTTTCCTTCTACTTATCTAAACTATTTCTAAAATATTTGAGAACTATGTATCTGTCTCATCTGATATGTTTTTTGCGATCTGCACCACTCAAATATAGAGGCAGGAAGGTTAGGGCAAAAGAACCAGCAGGGAAATCTGCAAGATTGTTGCTCCTATAGAAGGTATGACACTTTATGAGCTTGAGTAGTGTTTCTCAACCAGTTAGACGCAAAGGTTGTTTATGTGGGGCTTCAACTCATTGCCCAATTCAAAAAATCAAAGTTGTTTGCACTTCAAATAAATGAATAAATGGATATCTCAAACAGTGGGGTTTTGTTTGTATCATGGTGGGACCAGGGCTTTTTTTTGACAAAAAAGGTTGGTGGAATGTAAGATGCAAAAGGTTAAGAACCACTGGGTTACAGGGCCTGGGTTGTTTAAAGTGAAAAAGACTCCATAGGGTTACAAGAGATGCTTGGATTTAGAGGCCCTGACCACTGTCATTGATTGCTGGAGAGCTACTACTTCTTTCTTCTTAGGTAGACTAATGCAATGAAAATACCATAATACATACATACACACACAATTTCTGGCATCTTGCTCTTAAATATGGGGCTGCTTGGAGTTCTGAACTTTATTACATTAGTCTAAAAAAGTCACTCCAGATAATTGGGGATAGATAAGATGAGAATGGGAGATACAGCATTATAAAGCACCCCCCCCCAAACTGTAAATATTCAGTATTTCTTATTTTAATATAAAATGTTTGAGCCTTGAAAGATTATTCTGTTTAAGATAATTTCAGTCTTAACAGCCTACAGCAATTTAATTTATTTTACTTTTTTTTTTCTTTTTAGGGCAAAAAACCAAGTTTGCTCACTCAGTGAGTTCTTTCAGTTTTCAGAACATTATGTTGCCAGTGTATGAATTATGTGTCGCATAGTTTGCTTGTCAGATTCACAGGAATGAAAGCTATAATATGAATCATTATTGATGACTTTCTTGAGTTGGGAATTTATTATCATTGTTGCCACTGGAACACATAACCTGTGAGACATTCTAATGTATTTACCAGCTGGTAGGTTTCTGATACCTTTTACTGTAAGAGCAGTGGGAATGGCTGGATAAAATTTTGTGAAAGAATACATAGCTGTAGATTAAAAGGAAATGGTAATCACTGCTCATCTCAACAAAAGAAACATAGTACCTGAATGCTGTATCTGTCAATCTAGCAATCTGTCAAAATACTTATTATGGTAAAGGGGAACATATAGCTAAGTATCTCACAAGCTTTAATGTATTTGCCTTCACAGCTGCTCTGAGATATTGAAGTGATATTTCTTATCCTTTAGTTATCACTCAGAATTCATAACAACATTTTTTCTTTTATTCTAGCAAATGAGTCAGGTAGCACCAGAGCTGTTATTCCTGACTATTAGCACAAGGAAAGCCATAATATACATGAATATTTTCTGAAAGCCTCAAGTATTTTCAGGCTACATGAAGGCTATTGTATGCAACATGAATTTTCTTATAGCTTATGAAGACTGATCTTCAAAATTATTTTAAACAATACTCTAGTTTTCCAAAAAGTATCTTGTGAAACCTACTACTAAAATGGGGGATTTACCTCAATAGGATCTATAGACTCAAGGTTTTGTCCAAACCCATTAAAGCTTGTTCTGCCTATATATATCTTATTTATTTAGGCTTTAAAGGTGCATATCTGTTCTGCTTTCTGACTGACTTCAGACTAAAATGGCTAACAACCTCTCCCCAAACCCATTAAAATCATTGATATGCATTGACTATGGTGGATTCTGCATCATGTCCAGGCATCAAATCTAACAGGGAGAAAAAAGACAAAGGAAAGGATCCATTTCTGAATTCATAATATAGTCTTATCCCTGTGGATCACATAATATAACCTATGCAACACATAATTTCATATACTGTCAACATCATCCATCCTCTTATTAGAAAACTGGTTGTATGAGTGTGTTTGACTCATTATTACACTGGATTTGCTCTCCTGTGTTACAGAAAAGAAATGAATTGGAAAGTCATCATATTACCGAGAAGTGGAGAAAAGTGGCTTAACTCCATGATTCCCTATTTTAAAAACCTCACATGTTAGTGTGTTGGGTACCCAGTTACTCTGAGGAACCAGCGTGAGCTTGGAAACAGCTGTTATACACTATATTCCCCTCTTTTAATTTTGAAGAAACATTGCTGGGAAAACTTAGTGTTCAGACTAAAATTATCCTCTTTGTCATGCTGTGCCATTTTGTTTTCTATTGGAGGAAACCAAAAACACCCAGGACCCACAATTATTGTTTTTTGTATTTGCAAATCTAACTTGTAAATCCCTCAAATGTGCCACTTTACAGGCAAGTACAGATAAAGATAAGTCCTCTGTCCTTCACAACTCAGAGTATAATAAAGAACATGTACAAGAAAGAAGGGGCGCGAATGCAGCACAACACAAAGGGCTGGATTCTGAGACTTGTACTGTAAACAGCTCTATTTAAGTCAGTGGCATACTAATTAGAGTATGGCACTACTCAGTACAAGTAGAGGTGGATGGAACTGGGTCAAAGTGACTGAGTGCTGAAGTTAAGTAGGAATCTTGGTAGATCTCTATATTTTTCTATTTATATTCATTTTTATGGGGTGAGGGAAAAGTAAATGAGTGAAATATCTTGATGTGTTAATGTTTCATTGTGAAGAGATCAATATATGGAACATAAGAAAAAGTCTTCCCTGTTTGCATAAACCATTATTTAAACCTTTAAACATACTTGAACATTCACAATTAAGGAGATGTCTCTTTACATTATTAATCATAATGTAGTGAATATACATACTTAGTTATTTCTAGAAGGAAAATATGCATTTCAAATAAATCTTGAAAGGCAGAAAAATACAAACATTCAGGTTCTTGGAAGACACGGCATTATATCTTAACAGAAGAGGATCCTTTCCCTTGTCGTTTTTGCTCCGTCAGAATTGATGCATGAGGATTTTAATCTGTGTTTTTATTGCACCAGAAATTAATTCCAAACCCACATAATCTTATTTCCTAATTAAATGTTTGAGAACTGTTGGTATGTATATTTGCATGTGATTAGCTACTGAAGTTGTGCATGCAGGTCTTTTGCTTTTAAACTAGCCTGGAGTCAATAAATCTTTTTACAGATGTCAATTTGGTCAGCAGTAAAGAGGTAAATAGAAACTAATGACACTCATCAAGTCCATGGCATGAAAGATTTATTGGGTACAATCATTTAACACTTTCATAAAGTCAATATAAGGGAAAGAAACAGGTTTCTTATTATGGTAAACTGCATTTCTACTGTCAGCACATAGTGATTTATGACAAACCTATGGCCAGGATTAGGATATTATAAATGGAGAAAAATGGAAAGCTCATTAATTTTTTATACCTACAGGTAGAAGACATGCAGTGGGCCAATAAAGAACACATTCATCCAGCATCTCTCTGCAGCCTTCCCTGTAAACCTGGAGAAAGAAAGAAAACAGTAAAGGGAGTGTCGTGCTGTTGGCATTGTGAGCGCTGTGATGGGTACCAATACCAAGTGGATGAGTTTACCTGTGAACTGTGTCCTTTTAATAAGAGACCAAATGCCAACCGTACAGATTGCCAGCTTATTCCCATAATCAAACTGGAATGGCATTCTCCTTGGGCTATTGTGCCTGTATTCGTAGCTATGCTTGGAATTATTGCAACCACCTTCGTAATTGTGACTTTTGTCCGCTACAACGACACCCCCATCGTCAGGGCCTCTGGACGTGAACTTAGCTATGTGCTCTTGACTGGGATTTTTCTCTGTTACTCTATCACTTTTTTAATGATTGCAACTCCGGATACCGTGGTATGCTCGTTTCGACGGATCTTTTTAGGACTTGGCATGTGCTTCAGTTATGCTGCCTTGCTCACCAAAACAAACAGAATTCACAGAATATTTGAACAAGGTAAAAAATCTGTCACTGCTCCAAAGTTTATTAGCCCAGCTTCACAGCTGGTGATCACCTTCAGCCTCATATCCATGCAACTTATTGGAGTCTTCATCTGGTTTGCTATTGATCCACCACATATCATAGTAGATTATGGAGAGCAGAGGACACTTGATCCAGAAAATGCCAGGGGAGTTCTCAAATGTGACATTTCTGATCTTTCACTAATTTGTTCCCTGGGATACAGTATTCTCTTGATGGTCACATGCACTGTTTATGCTATTAAAACAAGGGGGGTTCCAGAGACCTTCAATGAAGCAAAACCCATTGGATTTACTATGTACACCACCTGCATAATTTGGTTAGCTTTTATTCCAATCTTTTTTGGTACTGCACAGTCAGCAGAGAAGGTAAGTTGTGATAATATTGATAATCAAATATTAACTTGTCTTTATTTTTAGTTGCTATATTTATAGCACTACATTAACTCAGTCTTATAAATGACCAATTGTGAATGTTTACTGTGAGCACAAGCTCCAAGAATGTTAAATATTGGAAGTCAATGGAAAGATAAATTGAAAATATATATTTCTTTGAGTTTGTAACAAGATTTTGCATATGGATTAAAAAAGCCGTAATAATTAGGCATTTTCTGAACATATATTTAACTTAAATGGCTGGTTCTACTAATGCTTATTATTATCCTTCCATAAGGCCCCAGCCTCATGGAATGAAATACAATAAATCGTTGTCAGCTACAAGAGATCTGATACAAATTGTTATATTTTAAAGTGTAGGAAGATCAACTTCCATTTGTCAAAAATAATGAAGAAGAATGTCTCAGCTGAATGAAAGGAAGTACTTTTACCTGTTGGTGGTACATGCAACAGGAAAAAAGAGAAAGGAAAATGCCTAATATATTAAGTATTTATTTTATATAAAACATTTAACAAAAGCTTAGCTAATTAATTGTCAGCTCATTGAGGGAGTTAGGCTTTTGATAATGAGCTCTTTTGATGAGATATTCAAAGATCACATCTTCCTTGTTCGGCTGACAAGGTTCTTTTCTGATATCAGTCGGGGGGAACCATGTACAACATATCAGACATTTAACTCTACCTCTCTCCATTCTAATTGGAAGACAGAGATAAATATAATCTACATGGATTTATTTCTAGCTGACACTGAAAATGATGACACGTCATCTAGGAAAGAGCAATAAAAACAAATCAATCTCCAAATGTATTTAGAAATCCTAAAAATATAATTACAAAAAAATAAGGCATGGATCCCCAAACATGGATCCTTGCTGGTCATATGAAACCTTCTCTTTCTCCTCCTCCTGCCCCCGCAGCTTCCCCCACCAAAAAAACCCCAAAAACCCAGCAAAAACAAAATATTCACACAGAAACAAAGAAAACCCCAAACCCTCAAACAGACAGACAGACAAACAAACACAAGACCTACACAGTATAAAGAGCTAAACAGACTTCCTGAATAGTTCAGCCTGCCACAGTCAAGAGCTGTGACTTTCCATGGCTTGCACAACCTTATCCACAGGGGGAAAACTGCTACAGATATTTATGGAAAACAGAGCACTAAGCTGGTGGCACATCTATGGAGCAGCCTATAAAGATGAAAAGTTCTGGGACTTTAAACTGAAACAGGAAAACATATTTAGCTGATAAATATCTGCATGGATTTGAATTCTGATTTTCAAGTAGGTTCAAATCAGAAAAAAAGAGAAATACAGTGCTTTTCATTTGAAGAGAATGGTGCCAACTCAGGCCAGGTGGAGTTTAGTGGTGGAGGGCATCTGTGCCAAAACAAATGTATTTCTGGGTAATGGAAAACAGAAATACTACTTTACTGGCAGTTGCACAGTGACTTTTAATTTACAGAATAAGTTCACATTTATTTGAAAGAAGGGGTGACTCATTCTTGACCTCTAAAGAAGAAAATAATAAACACCTCTGTTTGGCTTTTTATGTGGAATCCCAAAGTGAACATATAAACAAAGTAAATCTCCTAGCTGTTGGCACTAAATGTATTTAGTTGTTGCATTTTTTTTAAATGATGGGTTAGTCTTATTATTTCTACAGTGCCTTTCAGGAAGAAAAAAACAAAACAAATTAAAATGCTAATACAGTAGTATTGCAATTCAAATAATTATTTTTCCAGTGAGTCTACTTTTTCATATATAAAAACGTATTTCCAGTTCGAGTTTTATGGGTGGCATCACAATAGCTTACACACGCACACAGTTAAATTATTTATCTAAATGGGATAAAAATGTAATAAATATTGCTCACATGTATAGAAATTGCCTGAATATAGTGACACTAAGTTACTTATAGTTTTCTTAGTTGATAAGAAATTTTAAAAGGCCAATTGTAAAACAAGCTGATGCATTATAAAATATCTTAATTACAATTAGTTTATATAAACTTACTTTAGTCTATCAAGGAAATGAGTGGAGACAGTAAATGGTGGATTTTGAGGTCCTTATTTACCTTGGAACTTGTCTGGAGATGATACTAAAGTCTTTAAATTATTAGGCCATAATGCTTAAGTTGGTTCAGAGGGAATCTACTTATAAATCAGAAAACTTAAAGTACTGTGTAAGAGCAAAGGCTGCATTCTTGAAATGCTGATAGTAGTAAACTTTAACAAGTGTACTTTATACCCTAGATCTATTCCCATGGGGGAGGTATTTTAATGCACCTGTATCTCTAGACACAATCCAATCCTTTCCAATAAACAACTGTTGCTTCAGCTTCTCTAATAGTGAAAATATTCTGGGGTAGTTCCATATTCCCATATATTGCTTGTACCTATAACAAACAGTAGACCAGGATGCCTGTGTTTTAGAAAGAGAATGCATACCTCCAAGAATTAATGAGATTACCATTTAGGTGAAAGCATTTCAATAAACTGTTCATCTACTTCCATTATATTTTTGCAGATAAACAGAGAGATGAGGCAATTTAAGAAGTGTTCTTTTTTAAACTAACAGGAGAACAGATCCAGTGTCCATTGATGTCAATGGAAAGGCTCCCACTGGTAGGTCAGTCCCAGAGTAGGAAAGTATCCAAGGAGTTTTTAGAAAGGCTGAAGGGAAGTTTAAGAGGGTATTCTGTTGCACAGAATTTAGGGCTCCATCCATCACCTCTGTAAATTAAGCATTGACATCAATAAAACACTGCGTTGGAGCTTCAAGTGTGTAAATAAGCACATCACTGAATCTGGAGTCTTAGGGTAAGTACATATGTTCAAGAAGCCTGCGGCAAAAGTGCTGTAAGTATATCGCTTTACTGAAAACTCTAGATTGTGTTGGGACAGAACTGAAAATACATGTGCTGTTTGGTGCTGGAAGCTTGGAGCCTGCCTGCACAGCTGTGGCCGGCAGCCTGGGGAAGCTCCTGAATGCCTCCCAGGAGCCTGTGGGAGTAGCTGAGCAGCCAGCCACCCCTGAGTAGATAGCAGTGCCCCTCTCCCCAGCCCCACACCCGCTCAATGGGTGGGGAGGGGAAATAGAGCCTCTCTGCCCTGTGGACTCAGCCTGGCCCCCAACCAAGACTTGTGCCCAGATGCTGGGGTGGCAGGGGATGGGTTCTGCATGGCAGAGAGGCTCTGTTTTCCCAGCTGCAGCCAGGAACCTGGGGAAATGGAGCCTCTCTACTATGTGGACCCAGCCCATGTGGCTGCTGGGAGAGAGACCCTGGACTCCTTCCCTTGCAACCCCCCTGGCCAGGCTGCAGCACACTGTTGGGCTGGGGTGGCTGCAGGGACAGGAACCTTCATTCCCCCTCCCTTGGCCAGGCTCTGTGGGGGCCTGGGAATGTCCCTGGTGCCCCTGACTCGGCAGTCCTGCACAATGCTGCCTGGAATGGCGGTGGCCATGCTCTAAGTTAACCCTTGATGGGATCTGGCACAGACATTCACTAAAGCGCTCTGACAGAATGCTCGCTGTCAGAGCTGTGAATGTCTGTTATGTTACAATGTTAGAGTGCTTTCTACCTGCTTAAAGTGAGACGGGTAGGGATCTACTTAAGTGCGTGGAGGGGAAGTAAAAATCACAGACTGCTTGCAGTGCCTGCAGCTATTTTCAGGGTCTTTTCTTGGCAAGCTCCCCCACCGTTGATTGGCTGAGGGGCCCCAGCAGAACTTGCCCCACACCACTGATTGGCTGAGGGCTGCCTTTCATGTAGCTCCACCCCTCACCACTGATTGGTGGAGAGAGGTGGGGCCACACAAAAGGCAGCCCTCTCCATCAACCAGTGGCAGAGGGAAGAGGGGGCAGCCACCATCTTGCCTGCTGCCCTTCAAGCGGGAGGCTTCCCCTTCTCTGGCAGGCTGCAAGCCTGGGCACCAGCAGCCACTGGCTCCCACTGGGGAGCCAGCATTTTATTTTTAGTAAGTATTTGGGGGGGGAGGGGGGGCAATTCCACAAAAAAATTACACGAATTGAGTGGATCCCTAGAGACAGATGTACCTAGCCTAAATGTACAAGTCTCTAGATTGAACTCTCAAGTGAGAGAGGCATTAGAGATTCAGGAAAAGAAAAGGCTTGCATGTTTAAATTTACTAAGCCACCTTCTTAGCTGGTGGAAATTTGTGTAGCTTCCATTCAAGTCAGTAGAGTTAGGGTGATTCACACTCTTCTGGCCCAATGTATGTTAAATCTTATTAATGGTCCTCTGGATGTTTTTCTTTTCTGTCTCTGATTACTCATAGCCATATGTACACTGCAAACTTACTTTGTTCAGCAGTGACACTCATAGACAACACATTGCGTGGTGCTGAGGGAACACTAGTTAACACTGCTATATGACAGTATCTATTAGCTCAACCCCACGCTGCCCCCCCTCCCCACTATCAGCAGGGCACAGGTATAGTTATCATGTTTCTGTTGTGGACACAGTGTGTGGATCAGCATGGAAGATTTGAGGGCATCACTGCTTGGCACAGTAGGTTTGCAATCCTGACATAGCCCAGAAGTATATAAATATAAAAAATAAGAAGCTTTAGAAGTATTTAAGAAAGAAATTAAATTTAAATATGGGGATCATATCTTAGCAACTAAGCAAAGGTTCAAAAACAAGCAAAGACAACCTCCAATGGTCTATGTTGAGTGCTTTTTATATATCTCCACATGTCAATTATCCTGAACCTCAACCAGAAGAACATAAAAGACACATACATGCCTAAGGAAGCCATTGTTCTGATTATTATTTCTGCAGCTTTTCAGTTCATGGCAGTTGCTGCCAGCAGGCTTCAAAGAGGCAGACGAGAAAAGTATGTAGGTTTTGTTCGTAAGCAATCTCCATCATCAACCTAAGTGTGAGAACAATAAAGGGCAATGACTCTGCATATTGTTTGACTGCTTTTCTCTTTCATTATTTTGTCA